CGCCCTGTGGATCGGTCCCGTCCCCCCGCCCCTCCCGGAGCCCTCCCGCCCGCACGCGCCCTCCGGGGCCAGATGGACGCCCGAGATTAGAGGCACAAAAGTGCGTCTCCACGCCGGGCTGCCCCCTGTCCCGCGGACAGGCAGACTCACTTCGGGAGCTGTCTTTTGTTGTCACGGCCGTGTGTGTATGTTTTTCCGGGAACACGGGGCTCGTTTGGCCTTCAGGAAGAGTGAATCTGCCTATAAGGGCAAAACCCAAAGTCAGCCCCCCCCGGGCCCCCGCGCCCCCGCAACAAAACCTCGGCGACTGCAATGAAATCTTAGGTGTTTGCAAAGGGTCTGTGCTGCAGCCGTAAGGGTCAACCTCACCCCGGCCGTTCGCACGCTCAGCCCACCTAGGCTTCGCCTACTAAGCTCTTCTTTGATGACTTAAAATGATCTGTTTCTTGGGCAGCGCTGGATTCAGGGCATGACGAGAGATGGGGAGAACAATTCCTAGCAGCTAAAGGCGGCCTTCCCCAAATCCCCCAGCCCGTGCGCTGCGGCGGGGGGGCGCGGGGGAGAGGCGCGCCCGCCGAGCGGAACGGGCGCAATAAACGGTGACCTCGGCTGCTGCCCTTCTCACCATAGGGCCATCGGGGTTCTCGTCAATGCTGTCTGCCCCAAATGAAGACTAGGGATCTCAAAAACCTCTCGGTCCTGCCTTTTTGTTTCCAACCAACCTCCTACTTGAAGCTTAGAAAATAGTTTTTGTAAATTCCAAGCAGCAGAAAGCTTTGGCTAGGTGAGAGGGAGATGGAGGACCTCGGCTGCTGCCCTTCTCACCATAGGGCCATCGGGGTTCTCGTCAATGCTGTCTGCCCCAAATGAAGACTAGGGATCTCAAAAACCTCTCGGTCCTGCCTTTTTGTTTCCAACCAACCTCCTACTTGAAGCTTAGAAAATAGTTTTTGTAAATTCCAAGCAGCAGAAAGCTTTGGCTAGGTGAGAGGGAGATGGAGCAGGAGAAAGAAAACATCCCCACAGTCGATTTTTAATTCCTCAAGGCAGTTGCTAGTTGGGGGTGGGGTGGGGGGAAGAAAGCCATCAGCTGAGTTCTCTTTCCGGGGAAAACGTAACTATTCTGCCAACGTTCCTCTCAAACTAAAATACTTTTCTGATGGAGAAAACTAGTGGCGGTGGTTGGACTCAAGGCTTCCACCATTTTGTCAAGGCTTTTAGATTCAGGACTACTTGCTTTCTATTCACTAAGCATTCCTTTGGCAGATACTTTCTGAACCCCTTGTACAGGAAGGGATGGGGCTGCTGGGACCCAGGAGGTCTGGACTGAAGGACAACGACCTAGCGCTGTAGCCCTTCCCTTGGTTTTTCTTAAAGGCCGGGTTTTGTTTAGCCTGAGGCCGGCTTCAATGCAGGCCTTCCGGCGCGCTCGCTGCAATGCAGGGTATTTGCGCTCTCATCTTGCGGCATGGGGTTGGGGGGGAGGGGAGCAGAGAGATGGTTTTGTAACAGGCTCTGCAGGCCTGAGTGGGAACGCCTTAAATGATGAGCCCCGGGTTAAAAAAGAAAAGGAAAAAAAAAAAAAAAAAAAAAAGGGGCAGAGGAAGCTGATTTAAAAGTTGAGGATAACC